ATTTACTCCAATTATTTTACCATTCTAGTTCAAAGTTAAGGATTAAGGTATACTCAAATCCCCTATTTTGCTCAATTGTACCAAAAAAACCCCTCGCCCCCCCCCCCCCCCCCCAAAAAAAAAAAAAAAGAAATTAACATTACTACTTGTTAAGATTTGCGAGTGGCAATTTTGAATGACTTGCTCAAAATAATTTGAATATGCATTAAAGGGAAAAATAAACCAAAAATTGGAAATTTTAAGACTAGATATATTTATTTTTGGGTAGGATAAAGTCACTTGATTGACATGTTATTCCACGTGAAGTGGGCACCCTATTTTGTCTAATTGCTTGCTCCAATAAGCTTTGCCTATTCCCAACTTTGTTTCTTATTGTTTGCAAATGGGCAAAGCAACTATGAACTTTAGATGTATGACCCACATTAACACAACAATACAAATGCAAGAAAATTGAACTCCACACATTTATCCAATAACTTATAAAATGATTCACCAACAAGTTGTTGTTGGTCTTCTTAAATGCAACAAAATTGAACTCCACACATTTATCCAATAACTTAGAAAATGATTCACCAACAAGTTGTTGTTGGTCTTCTTTTTGCTTCACATGGCGTATACTAGTTTTTTTTTTTTATTATTCGAGGAGAGAAATTCGAACTGTGAACTTTTAATCAAATAATTAGGTAATGTGAAATATATCAAAACTTGAGTACCCTTGAATGATGTAGCAATTTTAAACTAAAATTGGTTCAAATAATTGTAACTTTAAAGTGAAGTTCTTTAGTATTTCAAAGTCTTGAGTACACATTCTCTTGATAATTTGTGAGTTTGATTCTTGCAAATTCATGGGATATGTCACTTGTCAAGGGTGTCCTATTTCATTCATGGGCCACCTACGTCACCTATAATGAGATTTTTTTGTTAAAAGCATCAAAAGTCAACATTGCAGGTTCATGATTTTAAAAGTGGAAAGCAACATGCTTGATAAATTTTTATGGAAATTTTGGTATCTTAAGTAATATTTGATACAAGATAATCACTTCAAAAATTATAATAATTTATACATGAAATTAAATCATTATATTTGGTAAATATTCAGTAATCTTATATAACGATAATTTTGGATCATCGAAAATAATTATATTATTATCTTAAAGGGAGATTTAATTTTTATATAAAAATATGAAAAACTTGTATTATTGAAGCAAAGTAACGTATAAAATTAATAATAATTAATTTTACTTATTTAATATACAAATTAAAAATTTGTTGCATCTTAAAATTATAATTATTTTATATTATAAATTTTTATATTTTCAAATTAATACTCATCGTAGTAAGTTCACGTAATTTGTATATTTTTTATTTTTTAATATTTTATTTATAATATGATTTTTTTAATTATCTTTAATTATAAATTTAATAGATTGATTTTATTTTTTAATTCAAATATTTTTTACATAATTTATATTATAAAAATCAATTTTATCTATCAATAAATACATTTATTATTTAATTATATTTTATTATAAAATAAATAAATATTATTAATATTGTACAAATTATTATCTTTAAATAACCTTAAAATTATTAATTTGTATAATTATTATAGTATGCATAATTTGATTTTTAGTAATACCAAACACAATAATTTTTCATTTTTACGAATTAATCATTGTTAACTAAATAAAATGAGTTCAAAATCATAAGTATTAAAATCACCATAATAATAAAATCACTTTAATAATTATATTATCATAATAATCTTACAAAAAATACCAAACACTATCCAAATGACCAAATGCCATGTCTCAATTTATTTCCACAATTGAGGTGATTTGTTTCCATTATCTCTACCAAGATTGACGTAACATGTTGGGATTCTAAGAACAAAAGAGGATGGCATTTTGAAATCAAGATAACTTACATAATTTCAGAATTTTTTCAATTGATGGAATTGCTTAAGAATTTTCCTATCAAAACTAAAAGCCTTTTCTTTCCCCGAGTTTTTTAGAAGAAAAAATTGTACACATTTATTCCACTTTTTATAACAAAAATTTTGAATTCGTTTAAAAAAATTTGGAGAAAAAATATTTTAATCCAATTCTTTAAAAAAAGAGATACATGCACCTTTAATAAAAAAATTACTACAAATAATTATTTTCTTATGTTTGAATTAAGAATTCAAATACATGATTTTAGAATGAGAGTAAGTCATATCTTTCCTTTTATAATTCAAAATTCAATGTATTTTTATATGAACTAAAAAAGAACTTAAGAGTTTTAAAATGGTAAAGAAGTTGAATTAGCATTAATTTTGAAGCATTAGGGATTTTTTAGATTTAATAACATGTGTATTCGTATTTATTTATTTCGCATCAAATATATGTAAAATATAAAAATTATTTTATCATAATTTATGATAATATATTAAATACGAAATATTTTTTTATTTTTATCAAACTCATATATAATTTTTACTTAAAATTTTAATTATATGATTTTCGTATTTTTTATATATTTTCAAATTATATCATTTTATCAATTTTATATTATCTTCTGTAAATTTTCTTACCAAATGTAACAATGGAGTGGATATCAATTGGGGGAGACGGAAGGACGTATAGATACGAAGTGACTGAGTGCTACTCGATCCTAACCCCAATGCCGGCCAAAAAAATTGGACTTAGTCAGACCAAATATGATATTTCTAAGTTCTAACTTGATGCACTTAATTAAATTATTAATTTAATTGGATAAATGAGAGTGACATTTTTTAACTTTCATTAACTTTAAAGATTAAAGAAAATGGTATGTTTATTAAATTATTCGACAGCCCCAAATCCAACCAATAACAAGCACGAACTTAGAAACAAACCAGTTAAACTAAGGCTAAATATATGTCTTGAAGAATTATCTTATATATAGAGAATAAGGTGATAAAGTTTTTTAATTTGAGAATGCTTTGAAAAAAAAAAAAAGAATGGAAGAAAATTAGAAAATGTCCAAAAACAAAAGTCAAAAAAAAAAAAAATTAAGGGACAACTTGATAAATTGAAGAATCTTGGAATGTTTTTTTTTTTTTTTTTGGGTATGATTTGTGCATAAAACATTCAAATCATTATATTTAGATGAGAATCTTATGACAAAGTGTGCTTTGGTGTAAAGTACTAAGTTTGCTTTTCCTCTAGATTCGTAAAAACCCAGAAAGAAAAAGAAATACTTCATTTGCAGAATCAAACTTAGCTCCATTATTGTAAGATGTGGGGCAAAAAATGTTGTGTGGATAGTTTACATATCTAGTTTCCATAGTTCTGGTAAAACCATTTATCATTGAGAGGGACAAATTATTGATTGAGCCAATCTCTTATTTGTAATAAAATCGAATTGTTGGCTTAAAATAATAAAACTTGTTTAATTGAATGGTTGTAATTTTCCATATCATGTTCAACTTTCATTGTGTAAGTTTAATTTAATTTTATATTAGAATTTTTAATTGTATACAAACTTATTGATTGATTCATTTATTTAATTTAATTTAATAATTTTTTATAAATATAATATTTGATTATAATTAATAATCATTTCTCTCAGCTTAACATAACTCCCTTAAGCTAGATCAAATGAATTTTCAAAAAAGAAAATTAATAGAACTTTCATTTGACCAATTTTTGTTTTCGTTTTGTGTTAACAACAATATTAGTGATTGGTAGTACCTCAATTATCCAGTTGTTTGATCATTTCCTCAAGAAGTAGCCCGAATTGAGGATGAAACTGCACCTCAATAAAAGTTCTTTTTTTTTTTTTCATGGCTCTGACCGGTCTTAGTTCCCCTGAGTCTCGTGTTAGTTTCTAATTTTTCTAACTAGTAATCCCATGTTTATTCTTTTTTTTTTTTGTCCAATCTTCTTCTTATTGCATGGTTAAAAAACTCTCACTAAATCCTATTGATTGTCTTGCCAGTTCTGGTCAACTGCGGTATGAGCACATTGCCTAATTTTGTCCAAGACCAGGAAAATCAACACGGTATTGTCCTGGCATTGCTGCAAGTTGCCTTCAATCCCTAATTATTTAATTTAACATATATATATGTTGGATTATTTGTTTGTCTCGGTCCTAATGCTTATTTCAAATCAACATCCCATATTTACTTAATTTAAAATAAAATTAAGAAAAAACTGCAATCTGGAAGAATTTAGAAAATGAATAATATTAAGGATTAAACTTCAGTCTTACGTGAAATTACTTTTTAAAAGAAATTGATGAATGATTTAAATTAAATATTAAATTTTATATTAACTTAATTAATAAAATAATTTGATTTAATTTAATTTTAAGTTTGACCTCATTGGTGGTCTCTCTTTATGACATTTAACGAGTGAGATCATTTTCAATATTTACTCACTAATTTGAGAGTTTGAGCTACTTATATTATATGAAATTTTTGACAAAAAATGTTATTTATATCACATTAGAAATTGAGCTTATATTCTGCAAATGAAATTTGAAATGCCCATCCATGCCTATACCCCAAGCATATCATTGAAGGTAGATTGAAGTTTTAAAACCCCATCAATCATCATTATTAATTTTTGGATATAACGAATTGAAATATTCGAATCTAATTTTTTCAAAAAAAAAAAAATTTACGCCAATCAAGTAAAATTTTCGAAGTATCAAACTAATCATCTTGATTTTAAAAATAATTCAATTTGTTAGCATACCTAAGTTGAATTTGTGCATTTGAATTTAAGATAGATCTTAAGAAAGAGAAAAAAATCTAATTTGGACCATTCAAATCATCAAAATTTAAAAGTCATGCCGTTGTTTTGGGTCGCCAGATTATACTCTTGTCTTCTTTCTTTTTCTCTATTTCGTACGTAGGTTTGTGAGTGCCTACATATATGTTTCTATGCATAAAATACTTTATTGTGCTTTCTTGGACTGACAAAATTGACCTGATATTTGTTTTTAATTAAATTCCATGATAATATGTCGGGTATAGGTTGGACTTGGACCCTCTATTGAGGGATATTGTTTTTTTCTTTTTTTGAGAAATATTTGTTGGTTGCTGAATCAAGTAAAAACAAATACAAGTAGTAAGATTTAAAAAGTCTGATTTTACTTTGGGATGTTTGGTAGGTGAGAAAATGTCAGTATTTGGACCTCAAATCAATGCTCTACATAGTTGGTCCAAAGAAAGAACGTGGATTGCCTAGAAAATTCTTGATGAAAAATTAGGCTGGGCTAGATTTTTTTTGAGATTTTTAGTGTTTGTTTTTGTTATTTGCTTAAAATGAATATCTATGTAAGCTTGGTTACTTGAGATCACTTGCCAAGTTGACGGGCCTTTATGTATACAGAAACATGGCAATTGATGAAGAGCTGGATGCGGCTTCAAGACAGACGGTTGCCTGAATATGAAAATGGGGTAGATGAGTTACTTGATACGGCATTTGCTATGAAAGGGAATGCAGAGCAATAGAAATTAGAAGGCACGAGATGAAGTAAAAGATGATCTTTTTGAATTGGTAATGGAACAATCTTACACCGAAGTTGGCTGCTGTTGCCGAGAATCATGAGATGGATATTGATCATAAGAAACATGGATTGGGAGACAAGGGAGCTGATGCAAAGAGCTCTGGTCAAGAAGAATTGATTGTGGGAGCAATGAAATCTTCACAATCTCCAAAGGTTGCTGAGATAGAACTGTATCCTGGTTGTGGGGAACATACAAATATATCTTTAACCAAGAGTATATTTGAATTAAAGGCTCTTTTTGGTGTACGAGATGAAGCAGTTGATGCTTAATCTAACTAGGCTTGCATTGCCAAGGGCTTTAATCTGGTACGAGTTTGGCAGGTTGGATTTGTTCCAATCTCTCATCCCAACTAAGAAAGGTGATTAGCACAACTTATCCAAGGATTTCTGCCTAAATCCTGCATCTATACCATGAATTGGTGCAAATAAGAAACGAGAAGCACAGAAAGCAGCATATTTGCTATCACATTATTCTTGTTGGATGAATGAATATTTCACATCCTCAGTCACAGAAGCTCCGAAAGCAGAATATTTGCTACATACAGCTCTCATTAACAATTAGGAAGAGCGAATAGGTGCAGGTATATAGCCTGCCAAAGCAAAATGTTCAGATTGTAGAAATATTCCAGCTACTCAGAATTCTCAATGTTGCTAAAGGGAAAGGCTTTCAATAATTCTCATAATCTAGTGCATGGAATGTAACCTAAAATCAATCGTGCCATCATCATTGCAAGCTATAGCTTTCATTTCATACCCCAAACTTTGCACATCAGCAGCAAACCAATGGCAGGGATAATAATAGAAAATTAAACGGTTAAAGAAATCTAGCAAAAATAATCTTAGGAGCTAGCAGCCATTGCTAATGCATCTCACTGTACAGAGTGAGCACCATAATAAGTAGCATGTTTAGATGAGAAGGAATCTTAAAAAAATTAGAGCTTCAAAGTAAGATCAGGCAAAGATGTATCTGTTCTTGGTGGTGATGCCTTTGCTACAAAACCAATATTTGAACTTTGAGTTGAATTTTGAGCAAATTCCAAAGCCTGGTTAGCATCAACTCCATTCACCTGCCTAAAACTCCCTGGCCAATACAAGTCAACATCATCATCTTCAATGAATATTGGCATTCCAAAATACCCTTGATCAAACCTTGCTCCAGCTCTTGTATCTAGAGGCCTCTGGGATGGCATGATTCCATGGTGCATAGCGGAATGAGCTTTGATCCCAAGGGACCGAAATGCAGAACCATGAAGGGGCAGAGATGCAAAACTTTTATACCTATCAGACAGTATCCCCATACGCATTGCACGCTTTGCCATTGTCCTCTCCCTCTTATGAGCATTCTGGTGTCCACCCAGTGCCTGTGAACTATAAAACTTGCGCCTGCAATAATTACAAGAGAAAACCCTTGTGGCAGTAGCTGACAAAGTATGGGTTGCTATCTCGCTACTACTCTCACCAGTGCCCTTCATCTCAGCATCACTGGCACAGAATTGGAGAGTCAGGTCAAGGGAAACAGACCCTGAATCTGGTTGAGCCTTTACGAGATTTGTGAGGCATGAAGTAGTGGTTGTGCTATTCTTTGAGGGATCAGGAGATGCTTCGCGTGCAGATATGTTGGAAGCCACTTGGCTGCTTTCTTCCGAATTGTTTTCATATTCTACCCTGGGGTTTGGGGTTGTCATTCTCGGGTGAAGTAGCAATGTCTAGTGCTTGTTCCTTTTGATATCCGGTATGAATGGCTACAGAACTAATCAGTTATCTCTTCAAACACCTGCATGTATGAACAAAAATGGATTATTTGCTAAAGCTTAAAAGTGTCAGAGTTGTGATATAGGAGGTCTATTCGAGTCTCTCATGCCTGTCAAACTGGTATGCAATAAATCAAGTTTATTATGAACATGTCAACTTCCATTTGATACCTGAAAAAAAAAATCCAACCCTCGAAATATGGACAACAAGCTCCACATACACATACAGGAACACAAATACCATTCATTAAATCTTAACAAGCACGCACATTGCATAGCCATACAAAATCAAAATATGAACCAGTCGCAATAGGTGTAATTTCTTGCCAAGATGATAAAGCTAAACATGCACACATATTTATAATTCGTCTTGAGTTTCCTATTTAAATTGTGCAAGCCCTATAGTGAGGACAGAAAAGATGCAACTATCATTAATTTGAGTCACCATAGTACAATTAATTTTGTTTAAATTTTAGAAGTAGCATCCATCTTATGATTCAGTTTAGCTAATCTAGAACTTTTCTGACTGTTTAAGAAGTAAAAGAGATTGAAAAAGCAAGGGAAAAATGGAGATGAGTGATTTAGTGAGAAATTGTGAGAGAAAGGTTCACTGAAGTAATTCAAAAGAATATTTGATTGTTTTATCCATATATTTATGCTTTATTCATGAATTTAACTGACATGCATGAAAGGTATTCAGAATTGCCTTAGAAAAATGGTTTATTTTCCTCCAATTCTCTTTAAAAAGTGCTTCTAACAGAAATCAATTGCTATAATTTTCAATTTAGCAACTTTCTTCATGTTACTACCCTGACCAGAGATCTTTTTCTTCTTTCAAATTCTACACCTCAGTTTTTCTTCTCCAAACTTCACTCTATCAGAACAGTGGAATGAAAGAACCATTTTCACAAATATTTCTTTCTCTTTTTGTTTTTACTCTCTTTTTTATAGTTTAAATGAAACACTATGAAGTTCAAAATGAAAAACAACTGATAATGAATTGTTGTCAGAATAGAAGACTGTCCAATTTTTAACCAAAAGCATAATAATCAGCTGCTAAAATTGACATGGAAAATGCATCCAAAATTACTAAAAAAATATGAAAAGAAACAGGAAACAGAAAAGCCCAGATGACCATTCAGGTAACAAGCAAAGAAAAAAAAAGACAAATTCAACAGGAACATCTACCAAAATGAATTAGACTAAAATCCATAGCTAAAAACAAGAGAAAAAAAAAATTTTTAATTCAAGAACATGAAAATAAACAGTGCAAAAACTAAAGCTTAAAATCAGTAACACAAAACAAAAGCTAAACCCAAAGAAAAAGAAAAGAAAAGAAAATCCATCGCCTATGAGATAGTTGGTGAAAAAGATTCTTACTTGGTATATCTTTTGAAGCAGCAAAGAATAGTTGAGTGATATGCTATTTTGTAAGCTATGGAAGCTATGGGATGAGAAGTATCAAAAGACAAAGACAGAACTGCGGCCTGTGACTTTGGGGTTTTTTTTTTTTTTTTGGTTCTAGTTTTTACCACAAGTAGCACAGTGATTGTTGAAGCTGAAAAAGGTTATGAATGGAGATAAGATTGCCAAGAAAAAGAGCACTGGGGATGATGGAGGAAAGTCAGAGATGTCAGAATCTAAAAAAAAAGAAAGAGAGATAGTAGACTATACAGTAACCAGTGTTTGTTGAATTTTGGGCTGTTCCGGTGTTTCAACAGCTACAACTCAATGAGTGGAGAGAGAGAAAGAGAACACTAAGAACACAAAGAGACAGGGAAAAAGCAAAGAGTACTTACTGGAAGTCCCACGAAAGGATACCATAAAAATGTTTGTTTCATTGCTCTATGCTCTTTCTCTTTCTTTTTCTTTTCTCAAGTATTTGCATTTCTTACTTTTAAAAGTTATTTGTGGTCAGATTCTGCTTTCCAATACTATTCAACCACATTTGTCAGGTAACTCCCATGCTCACTTATAGAATTTGCATGGAAATGAGCCTATCATCCACTCTGGCCCATACATTTGCCTTTTAGGTTTCTAACCCTTTTTAAGCATTTATATATAAAAAGTATTTTAGTATTTTGGTTTAATAATTATGTATAATTTTTATATTTAAAAAATAAAATTTAAAATCTCATTTCCAGACTAAAAAAACTTTTTAGAACTAGTGCTTATTTTCATTTATTATTATTATTATTAGATTAATACTTGATTATCATCAATTTGCAAACAATAATTAGCCATATTATCAAATTTTTTATTTTGTTGATGAAATTTTTTTTTGTATTTGATATTTTAATAATTAAAATTTGATCACTTAAATTAATAATTTAATATTTCACAAATAAATAATAACATTATAGGTGTTGATACAAATTTTAATAATATAAATAGATCTTATTTATTAACGAAAATAAAATATCAACTTGAAAGTATATTAGATGTAAATTATTATTTATTTATTTTTTAGATTAGTAATTATCATGGGTAAAGAAGATGATTAAAGAGGGTTGGATTACTTATTGTGTAGTTTAACTAATGAATAAAAAGGTATGATTTATATATTTTTTTCTCACCACTATTTCTAATTTTTTTAATCAAAGAAATTATAGTAACTCATCCATATTTTTTAATATTTGTATAAAATTTATTATGTTAATGAACTAACAAAAAAGAACAACGAATTAAAAGGAGCGATTAAAAAAAAAAAAAGCATGGAGATGGGAGTCGTAAAGAACGTTATCCTTTGTTTGTGCGACAGCAATATCTATCATTAATCAGATTTAAATCAACACAAAATAATATTTGCTTGATTGATGTTGATATTCAGCACTGTGGGACAGGGACCGTAACCAGCTCAATTGCAAAACAAGTGGCAAGTTTGGCCCCATATATATAAATAAATATATACATAATTTGTATAATATAAAATTTTTTTAATTTAATAAATTTTGTAATTCTTGATTTTAATAAATTTAAAAAATTAAATTAAATTATTTTTTAATTTTTATTTATTTCTCACGTCCTTTAGATATATTAAAATTGAAGGTTTAAAAAATATATAATTTTTTTATTTTATATTATATAAGATGATTATTTCTCGTATTTGTTTAGAATTATTTTTTGAATTTTGCTAATAAATATTATTTTTAAACTATTTTATTAATTAAGTTACAATTTCTAATGCATTAAAATTTTAAAATTATTGTATTTAATATAAAATATTATTATTAATTTTAACGACTACCTCAAAACCACTCGGTAAAATTCTATTTAATAAACTTTCAGACAATATCTAAGGAAATGGTATGGCTATTAACGGCTTCAACAGTTAGAACATTTTATAACTTAGCCACTTTCTTTGGAATAATATGCATTTATGATTTTCTATAATATTTTTATCATGCAATAAGTATCAAATTCAAACATCAGCTTGAAAATTAATTGCAAAGTGCATAAATAGAAAAAAATTTATAGTGATTCGAATAATGTGAATAAGGCAAAATTTTTTACCTTCCATATTTTTATTTTAAATCATAAGAAAATGAATTCTAATTTTTAAAACTAAAATTACTAACTATAAGTAATTTAAAACGTATTTTCTATTTACTTTTCAAATTTTGGAATTTAATAAAATACTAGTTAGTACAGAAAACTAAACATTAACCTGAGCTGATTATTGAAAAATATAATACAAGTATTGAGATTTTGAAGAAAATATTATTAAATATCATTTTTAAATAATTAAATGAACAAATTAAATTAAATTTTAAATTCAACACTAAATACTCTTTGGATATAATTAGAAAAATTTCCCTTCGCATTGTTTCTGTTCTTACACATAAAATATTAATTATTTTAGGATAAAAAAATGCTTGTCAAATTAGTTAATTCCATGAATGAATAAATAGTTTTAAATGTATATAAATAAATATAAATATATAGCTGCATGCAGTTTTAGTTTAAAGAATACAACTGATTTTAAAAAAAAATTTAATAGTATTTAAAATTATAAATTTAAATTTTAATAATTAAAAGTAATTCCTTGATACTTTATCAAGAGTTTAATTTAAAATTAATATTATATGCATCTAAATTGGAATTTTGGGGCCAGTTGGTACGGTCTTTGACAAATTTAAATATAGGATCCGACAAACAGCAGTGGGAATTGACACGTCCTGAATTAAAGACATTAATTAAAATCTTAAAATCAAAGCACCAAAACGACCTGACCCTTCCTGTCTTGGGTGGTTGCGGTGCAGACAAAGTTATAGCTTTTTACCTAATCCAATCAAATCCATTGAAAGTGCGCTCTTTTGTTTCTTTTTTGTATTATTATAGTATTAGGAATTTTCCTTTAGTTTCTCTTTTCTTTTTTATTTATTTATTACTAATATTTTTAGTTTGATTGATGTGTCTACATTTATCACGTACTAATAAGAAACAACTTGATGGAATGTGAATTGAATCCTAGTTAGCATCAAAAGCAAGCTTTGTTATTAGTTTGAGAGAGCCTTACCATTAGGATAAGGATGACTTCATCATGAGGTCTTTTATTATTTTTCTAATTTTCTTCTGACACGTAACAAATAGAAGTGTCCATAGCAGTTCAAGCTGGACTCAGATCAGGTCTAAGGATAATTTGATCATTTGAATTTTAAATTTGTAAATATTATAGTTTAAATTAATTAGATTTTTTAAAATAAAAATATGTTATTTTTATTTAAACTTTCATAAATTTGTTTTTTATTTAGTTTTAAAGTATAGATAATTTAATATAATTTCTAATGTTAACAATATAATATTGCATATTTATCTTTTAAATGATATAAATCGTATGAGAAATTATTTGATATATAATAAAATTTTTAATTTCATAAATAAGATTAAAATGATAATATATGTTCTTTAATATATATTTTAAAAAATAAAACATGTATTATTATCTTAATCATACTTATAAAGTTAAAAAATTTTACTGTTTCATATATTATATAATTAAAAAAAGAGGTCTAATAAGACCTTGAATGTTAGAGTCAAAATCAAATTCTTTTTTTAAATCATTCCTTTTTTTCAAATTAGTCTTTTTATACTTTATATTTTTATTAGAACCCCCAAAAAATTTAGGGGAATTTTCAAGTTTGGAAGGGTAACCAAACCAGTATATACCATATCTTACTGCTTATATAAGTACCAAAGCATATTCTCTTTCTTATATATATGAGGTTAATTCATTATGGACATCAGGGGTCTCCACCGAAGTAGTCATGTAAATCATGAGCAACTCTGTTATTTTGGATTTTCTACAATGGGCTTCCACAAATAACCCAAATTTGCGTCACCATAGGCATACGGCCCATGGACCAGTTGCATTCTTTTTTTTTTTTTTTTGTTTCCTTAACTTTCAACGTTTAATAGTATTTGATAAAGAAAGATTTAAATATGATTTTTTAAAATAAAAAGTTAAGCAAAAAAAATTATAAGTATTGAAATTTAAATTTTAAATTTATTTTAAATTCGAATATAGTTTTTTAAATAAGATATTAAACTGCAAAAAGGGCCTTTTTTTATTGTATTCTAGACTAAAGGAAAAAACCATCTAATTTTTTAGTAGAAAGATACATACGTTACCATTGAATTTTCATTTTAATCGAAAATAATATTTATCCTAAACCATCAGAGAAAATGTTCCAAAAACATTAAAAAAAATCGCAACGATTTCAAGCCACAGCCCCCAGATATAATATACCTTAAGAACCCAAGGACTCGATATTTCCATTCCAATTCTGAACAGTTTTTTAAATTAATTGCCTATTTTCTTTTCTTGGTGTCTTCAATAAAATCATGGAATTTATGCTTGGCAGATTAAGATCTTTTGTGGAGGAACATATCTATTCTTCTGTCTTGTCCACCTCTCTTTGAACCTTACACGAGTTCTTCCACTAAAGTACAATGTCTGTAAATGATTTGATGTTGTTGATTCAAATTTTTTATCATTGTCTTTAGCCACTTTGGTGCCAATATTTGTGCCTTGTCCCATTTGTCCTCTCCATAGCATTAACAATAAATTATTTATTAAATATAATAATTTAATACAATTTAACACTCAATTTAATAGAGAATCTTGATAAGTGGTAAAGGTTAAAGAGAAGTTCTACTGTAAGTCTCACCATTCATGATCAAGTTTCAACTTGCATTATATATATAGTGGGCAATATCCCAAATCAATTTAAACCAAGAAAATAGTGCTTGTAATAAAATATTAAAGAAAAAAAATAGCTCAAAAAAACAAGGAAAAGGGCTTCTGATGATTTAAAAAAAAAAAAGTTGGTGGTGCAACAATCAGACAGGAAATCTGTGTCTCATAACTTGTCATTTTTGGGCTTGGACCTGTGCCCTTTTGACACAATGCACTTTATTCTATCTTGGCTACTTGCTTTTTACACTATTTCATTTCATCTTACGTCAAAAACACTTTGACCCACACAATTAATACTATCAACGCAAGAACGATATCTTTGATGATAATGATAAAACTAAGGTTGTGAGAGAAAGAGACTAAGCTCATTGGATTCAGTTGTGTTAAAAACAACTACTCTATATAATTTAACATATAATATCTGAAGTTGCAAAGGTTGAATTGATCGTATACAATATTCAAAGAAATTTTTTATATATAATTTAACATTACATCCAGAGCTAATGAGTCTGTTTTTTAGGGGCTCGAGTACTTGTTAATTGTGTTTTAATGGTCAGATTAATGCTTTCTACATGAACAAAGGAAGGAGAATTTGTTTTAGCAAAAAGGTGAAAAAAAAGGATTACAGCCTGCTTGGAATCGAAGAGTGGGTACCTTTTCAAGAAAGGTCCTTCATGAATTGTAGCCCTTGGAGAAATGATTGCAAATAATAATGATAATCAAGAAACAAAAAAAAAAGATATTCATCAGAAAATGGGCATCGTATCTTTGTTCTATTGGATTTGAGAGATTTGCAAGCTCTCTCAATAATAATGGTAAGCACCTAACAAATC